TGGATGTGTGTGTGTCTCTCTGTGTGTTTGTGTGTGTGTGTGTGTGTGTGTGTGTGTGTGTGTGTGTGTGTGTGTGTGTGTGTGTGTGTGTGTGACACTGTGTGTGTTTGTTTGTGACACACATAAACATGCACAGAGAGTCAAAACGGACGCAGACACAGAAAAGCAAGCAGTCACACACACACACACACACGGATGAGAGGGTGTGTCCTGTGTGTTGAGGAGGAAGTGGACAACCACGACGATGAATGCTGAGAGAGAGAGAGAGAGAGAGAGAGAGAGAGAGAGAGAGAGAGAGAGAGAGAGAGAGAGAGAGAGAGAGAGAGAGAGAGAGAGTCTTTAAAGGTTGAGAGGGTGCGTCCTGTGTGCAGAGAGAGCAGCACGGCAGCGTCGGCAGGTGCGAGTCGACTAACTTGCTGAAAGGTATGTAGCACAATAGCGGTGCTTAGACATACCCCCAGTTTACGAAACGAAAATTGGTTGAGGAGGAGAGAGTCCGAGAGACCGGAGGGAACAGGAGACGTCAACAACAAAGCGGTTGGTGAGGAAGTGGACAACCACGACGATGAAGGCCGAGAGAGAGAGAGAGAGAGAGAGAGAGAGAGAGAGAGAGAGGAGCTTGAGAGCGTTGAACGCCTGAATCTGGAGGTGGTGGTGGAGAGGTGCAAGCGTGAAGGAGTGCGAGTGCAGGTTGAGCAAGACAGACGACTCAGTTCATCGACGAAAAGGAGGACGGCGGTTCGAATCCAGTTGCAGGAAGCCGACTGCCAGTGGCAGTGTGGCACGATTCTGCAAGAGGACAAGGAGAGAACGAGAGATTGCAAGCGCAGGGAGAGGAGAGGGTAGCAGCGATAGGAGGCTATGCAGGAGAGGAGGAGGGGAGGAGAGGAAAGGAGAGGAGGTGTGAGGCGATTCAGCCGATTCCAAGACGGACGACGGCTGCAGCCACTAGAGGCATTCCGCCAGCTCCTCCTTGGCTGCAAATCTCCAGCATTGTCAGTGTGAGTCACTGTGAGATGATGTAGGCTCATCGAATGACAACAACTTGGAGAATGAGGAGGGACGGAGGAGAGCGGCAGGTTGAAGAATACGGAGGGAGGAGGGAGGGGGAGGGAGGAGGAGAGCGGCTGCTGCGAGCCAATCTCCATCATCGTCAGTGGGAGACTTTGTCAGCTGCAAAGCCCATCGAATCGCAGCACCTTGGACAATGAGGAGGGAGCGAGGAGAGCGGCAGGTTGAAGAATGAGAAGGGAGGAGGAGGGAGATGAGTGGAGCGAGGAGGAGGGAGGATGAGAGCGGTTGCTACGTGCCAATCTCCACCATCGTCGGTGTCGGACTACGTCGGCTGCAATGCTGCCAGAATCACAGCAGCTTCGAGATCGAGGAGGGAGCGAGGAGAGAGGCAGGTTGAAGGAGAAGGGAGGAGGAGGGAGCAGGAGTGAAGGAGGAGGGAGGACGAGGAAGGAGGAGGGAGGAGGTGATCGGTCGCTTCCTGCCAACTGACCATATAAGAAAGATCGACGCAGAAGCCCGATGCCAAAGCCGCGCCGCTGCAGCTTCTGCTCTACTTTCAATCGTCAGACAGAATGGCAGTTAACACTAAGACAACAGTGTCGCAGCTCTTGCAGCCTTTTTGCAGGTCTTTGTGCCCTTGCAGCCTTGCTGCTGCAACTGCAGCGTCGCAGACGCAGATTCACACAGTACAGCACATGGACACGCTAGTCTGTACATATCCTGATTGCGACTTCGCAGCCAATGATCCTCTCTCCCATATTGCACTGTTACGGTATCGCACAGGGGCCAAGTCCTACTACCGTAGCAGCGTTGAGTTTGCTCAACGCCTGCATCTGGACGTGTTTGAGGAGATGTGGGGCTAAGTCCCACCAGCAGCGCGAAGTTTACTCAACGCCTGATTCTGGACGTGTTCGAGCAGATGTGCAGAAATGGCGTTGAGTTTCCTCTACGGCACATCTCCACAAACACGTCCAGATTCAGGCATTGAGGAAACTCCACGCTGCTAGTGGGACTTGTCCCCCGGACAAGCAAAGCAAGAGACCAACCGATCGATCGGTGGAGCGTGCGCCAGGCGCGCGTGCTTGTCACACACACACACACACACACACACACAGAGAGGGGGAGAGAGAGAGAGAGAGAGAGAGAGAGAGAGAGAGA